AAAGATGAAGTTATTTTTCATGATAACTTAGAATATCATAGGAAAAAAATAGTTTTTATCAATAGAACATACATGTAATAATAATGAAATCATCATAATGACTTGTTTAAATCAATTCAATGTAAACTAAGAAACGTTATCATCAAGTAACTTTGATTTTTTTCAGATCATAGAATTATTTAACATGTTTAAATGAAATTGTACCAGGATTTTGAAAAGTGTGAAGGGGGGGGAGGGGCTAAACTAGGCAATGTTTGGAGTGAAACAGGTAGCTCCATACATGAAGGGGGGCACGTGCAATTGGATTATTCTAGGTCTTTTTGATTTCATGTTATAGGTTAAAAAAATATGTTAATCATCATTTTTACCTGTATAAGAATGTTTTTTTGTGGATCAAATCAGTCAACGAAATGGTTGACCCTTGTTTTCCTTTTAATAGATGAACATGCCTGATGTTAGATCTGAATAAAAGAAAAAGAAAAATTGGTGCTCTGAAAGGATAAAACAGTTCTTGCTCCAACAAACCTCAACCCATTTATCATTACAACATGTACAATGTTTGCAACTATTGTTAATGATGTTAATGTCTGAGGAGGAGAAACTTGATGCAACTAATGATCAAAGTATATTGGGGGGGGGGGGGGGGGAGAGGATTTTTTTTTTCAATTTTTTTGGGGGAGGTCCATGCTTTTTTTCTTCAAGATTTTTCAAAACTTTTTTTGGGGGGGATTTTTTGTTCATAATTTTTTGGGTTTTTTTTTCGCAAAAATTTTCCCTTTTTACATTGATTATTTCTGATTTATATATAAAAGCAACAAATACTGATATGGCAGGAGATACACACCAAACAGGGAGTGAATTATTATATATATAACAGATTAACTAAGTATTGTGCAACAGCACAGTATTATGCAATAGCAAGAAATCTTCAATTGAAAATAAATACAAATCTTTTAACCAAATTCAATGGGATTAATTTAAAGTCTTCAATTTTTGGGGGTTCTAACCTTGTATTACTATTTTGGATATTGGGCTTCATTTTTAATTGAGATCCAAAGGGTCCAAAATTAAATTTTGTTTGATTTCATCAAAAACTGAAGTATTGCGGCTCTATGATATGCTGAATCTTATTGTGCATTTAGATTTATATTTTGGGCCCTGTTTTCAAATTAGTCCATATTAAGGTTTGAAGGGTCCAAAATTAAACTTTGTTTGATTTCAACTAAAATTAAATTTTTGGTGTTTTTTTATATGCTGAATCTAACCATGTTGTTAGATTTTTGATATCAGACCATACTAGGGAAATTAAATGTCCCATTTCAAATTTTTAAGATCTTTGACCACATTTATTTTTTGTCAGAAACCTATATTATGTCAAAAATTTGATCACAATCCAAATTCAGACAGTATCAAGCTTGAATATTGTGTCCAAACTTGCATCAACTGTTCAGGGTTCAACCTCTGCCGTCGTATAAGGCTGCGCTCAGCGAAGCATTTTATTCAAACTAGACTGAATTGTTATTCAATTTGGTTGAGTTGTCTTTCAAACTGGTAAATGTGTAAGAGCTGTCATTCAAACTGGTCCGAAATGTCATTCAAAACGTACTATTAAGGCCAATTTTTTTTTGATTTGTTGGTTACAGGATTTTTAATGTTTTAATTTTGATTGGTTGCCAGGAAATTGAAAAAAGAATTGTTATTAGACAACTGTGTCAAAATTATATTAAGACTAGGTTGAAAGATAACTTGGACAAGTTTGCAAGACAACTCAGACCAAGCTGAAAGCTTTACTGTCATGACTGTTTATTCCAACTTTAATACAGGTCACCAATAGCAAGAAGACACTATAGTATTTACCTATATACAAATTATGGATTTTTCTATTTTGATTCAGCTAAAAAAATTGAGTATGTACTTGATGTATAAACTTGAAGTTTGCATGTTTGTGAGATGAACCCAGTGTTTTCATAGGACCTTTTTTTGAAAGATGGGGGGATTGACTGGAAGGATGGTGGTCATAAATTATGAAGAATGAGGCTTACTCCATGAATATACATTGTATATAATCATGATAATGATTTAGAGGCATTCTGGAATTTTGAATTTTAAAGAATGGGGACCCAACAATTAGGTAACTAACTCTCTTTGGGGGAAAAACTAGAACCAAGATCTTTATGAGCTATTTAAGATATAGATACAAACCAGTACAATAGAATTTGGAGTCATCTGTTTGATAGCTGTTCTATGATTTGATTGACTGACCATTGTAATAACAACTGTCAATGGGATTCTTAAATGTAGTAAATTACTAATTTTTCTACAACAAAAAAATCTCACAAACAGGCTTTGAAAATTTGGTAGAAATTAATGATAGCTTCTAAAATGTTGTATGTGAACTTTAACATTTTTGTTAATATTTTTATACGACTGCAAAAAAAATTTTTGTGGTGGTATATTGGTATGACGTTGGCGTCGTCGGCGTCGTCCGAAGACACATTGGTTTTCGCACTCTAACTTTAGTTTAAGTGAATGGATCTCTATGAAATTTTACCACAAGGTTCAATACCACAAAAGGAAGGTTGGGATTGATTTTGGGGGTTATGGTACCAACAGTAAAGGAATTAGGGGCCAAAAAGGGGCCAAAAATAAGCATTTTTGTAACTTCCAGACATAACTTGTGTGTTAGTGTATGGATCTCTCTGACATTGTACCACAAGGTTCCATATCACAAAAGGAATGCTGGGATTGATTTTGGGGGTAATTGCCTCAAATTTTAGGAATTAGGGGCGAAAAAAAGGGGCAAAAAACAAGCATTTTTCTAGTTTCATGACAATAACTTGTGTGTAAGTGTATGGATCTTTCTGAAATTGTACTACAAGGTTCCATATCACAAAGGGAAAGCTGGAATTGAGTTTGGGGGTAATTGCCAAAACGTTTAGGAATTGGGGGCCAAAAAGGGGCAAAAAAAAATCATTTTTCTAGTTTCTAGACAATAACTTGTGTTCAAGTGTATGGATCTCTCTGAAATTGTACTGCAAGGTACCATACCACAAAGGGAAGGCTGGGATTGATGATGGGGGTAATTGCCTCAATATTTTAGGAATTAGGGGCCAAAAAGGGGGCAAAAAACAAGCATTTTTCTAGTTTCAGGACAATAACTTGTGTGTAAGTGTATGGATCTTTCTGAAATTGTACTACAAGGTTCCATATCACAAAGGGAAAGCTGGGTTTGAGTTTGGGGGTAATTGCCTTAAACGTTTAGGAATTTGGGGCCAAAAAGGGGCCAAAAAACACATTTTTCTAGTTTCCAGACAATAACTTGTGTTCAAGTGTATGGATCTCTCTGAAATTGTACTGCAAGGTACCATATCACAAAGAGAATGCTGGGATTGAGTTTGGGGGTGATGAATCATAAGGGGTTCAAAAAATTTGGGGGGGGGGATTTTTTTTTTTTCATTTTTTTTCATTTTTTCCTTTTTTTTTCTTTTAAAATTTTCCATTTTAAGTTGGTTATTTCTGATTTATATTTAAAAGCAAATAATAATGATATGGTAGGAGATACACACCAAACAGGATGTGTAAATTATAATATAATAAGTATTGTGCAATAGCAAGAAATTTTCAATTGCACAGTATTGCACAATAGCAAGAAATCTTCAATTGCACAGTATTGCGCAATAGCAAGAAATCTTCAATTGCACAGTATTGCGCAATAGCAAGAAATATCCAATAGCACAATATTGCGCAATAGCAAGAAATTGTCAATTGTACAGTATTGCGCAATAGCAAGAAATATTTAATTGCACAGTATTGTGCAAAAGAAGATACTTCGTATAAATTGCTTATTTCTTGACCAATTTCAATGGGGTTTTATTCTTGAATTCTTGGGGTTCTTTAATATGCTGAATCTAACTGTGTATTTAGTTTTTGGATTTTGGGCCCCGTTTTTAAATTGGTCCACATTGAGGTCCAAAGGGTCCAAAATTAAACTTAGTTTGATTTTAACAAAAATTGAATTCTTAGGGTTCTTTGATATGCTGAATCTAAACATGTATTTAGATTTTTGATTATGGGCCCAGTTTTCAAGTTGGTCCAAATCGGGGTCCAAAATTAAACTTTGTTTGATTTCAACAAAAATTGAATATATGGGGTTCTTTGATATGCTGAATCTAACCATGTATTTAGATTTTTGATTTTTGGGCCCCGTTATCAACTTTGTCCACATTGAGGTCAAAAGGGTCCATAATTAAACTTTGTTTGATTTCATCAAAAATTGAATTCTTGGGGTTCTTTGATATGCTGAATCTAACCATGTATTTAGATTTTGGATATTGGACCATAATAGGTGAATGTCCAATTTAAAATTTTTAAGTTCTTAGACCACATTCATTCTGTGTCAGAAACCTATGCTGTGTCAAATATTTAATCACAATCCAAATGCAAAGCTGTATCAAGCTTGAATGTTGTGTCCATACTTGCCCCAACTGTTCAGGGTTCGACCTCTGCAGTTGTATCAAGCTGCGCCCTGCGGAGCATTTTATTGTAAATGGCTGGGATATAAAAACTTGGCCATTTCTGGATAACATCAAGCACTCATCTTATTTTCACAGAAATAAAGAAATGTACAAGTTCTTGATTCCAAAAGCTATTATACAACAATTTTCAAGTTAACATACACCATTTTGGAAGCAAACTTTACAAACAATTGAGGTTGGCAATTTTGTCATATGTGCTGACTTTGGAGCTTATAATAAAAATTACTACATATACTATGAAGAGATTTGTTTTTCATAGCATAAAGTATTTTGAAATGAATCCATTTAAGAGCCAAATTATGGCCTTTGTGATATTTTATGATGAAGTTGAAATTCAAGGCCATATTTTGCCAAATGTGAACCTTGTCTTTTAGCTCTAGGAATATAACTAATAGGGAAGCATATGTACGTACTATTATATATGAATTGTTAAAACATATTTATCATGTTCATGTTATTTTTCAGGCTCAAAATGTTGTTCCATCTATCAGCGCTGTAACAGGTATCACACCTGGAGCTTATGTATGGCGTATATGCATAGCTTTACACTGTACACCAAGATTTGCAGTTGGATTTGTCCATTACAATCATTATAAAAAGAGAGCTCAATTTATAAGTGAAAAATATAGAGGGCTGTATATGAAGCTTATTAGCCTTAATTTCTGGATTTATCAAATAGAAAATTCATGTTTAGTAGCTGTTACCTATATTTCCAATAAGGAGAATTATCGTAAGTTTATTGAAATGATTCTTTGAATGCAGGTACAATGTATATATTTAGGTATTGTAATGTCATGAATGTAATATATTTAACCTTACTTATAATCAGTCATCATTTCTGATTGTTCCAAATTACTATCACAAGACATTGACAATTGCTAGGTTTCCTTTGACAACTTAAAATCATGGTAATGATTCACCTTCCCAGTGTGAAGCTGTGTGACAATAGTTTTATATTTCACCCATGACAACCCCAAATTTCCTTTTGATTAAAAATTCATTGGCATCTGTTTGATTGTTGCTTATTTCAAAATTTTCTAATAAAGCAGTTGTCTGATAGTTGTCCCATTCCAGGTTTCTTCCCTGATTTACTTAAATTCTATTCATTTTTTATCAGTTTAATAAAACAGTTATGACCATCTTAGTCGATGGACATCTATAATTGTCAGCTTGTGAGGAGTGTTTTCCTTTGGGCTAAAACCCTTGGTAAACAACCCTACCAAGTTGACGATTCTGGATGTGTACCTCCTAAAAAGGCCATAATTGTATAATGTTGAATCCTGTCTGAAATTAACAGATACCGGTAATACAATTGGTTGGTTAGAATTGTTTTAAACATTTCATGTCATGTTTTGTTATACTTTAGCCATTAAAGCATGTTTCGCAGTATTTATCAATAAAGACAGCTTTGAGCTCTGTATCAAATCCTTTGTATCATAATCTCCATTTAGCTGCTGTATATTTATATCATTTAAATTATTAAATACCTGTACATTTCATGCAGGTAAAGTAGCCTCTAAACCTCAGTTCAACCATGTATTGATTTTAACCCAACATCCTTGAAATAATAGATTTTCATATTATTCAATGTAAAATCTATTTTACTTTAAATATGTTAAACAACACCCTTGAAGCTTTTCTCACCATCCTTGAAAAAAATCACTAGTACAGCTCTGTATGATACAGTATTATTTGTTTAGCTTTTCAGATATATACATTACAGGGGTGTAGCTGCTTATAGGCACTTTAGGCACGTTCCTACACATAATTTTTTCAAAAAATTTTTTGTTTTTGTATTAAAAAAGATAATGACAATGTTATCTGTAGATGCATGTGAAGTCGTCAAAATTCTTTAATTATCAAATGTAATTTCTACACTAGTCTATACCGTAATCCTTAGTGAATGGAGTATTGGGTAGAATTGTATGTATGGTCAGAAAGGAAACGTTAACTCCCATGGCTAGTGTAGAGAGACTTGCAACAACTCTTTGTGGGGTCCGTAGGTGGTCTGCTGAAAGGCAAAATTTCTGTCCCTATCCAATAAATCCTCATTTACCTAGCTGCGCTATGCGTCGCTAGGTAAACTCAATTTGCGACAGAAAAATCTACCTTTTACGAAGGCCAAGCTTTAAATACAATATAGTTATCTCTTGATTTTCTAATGGCATTTTCAAATTTTCAGACCTTCATCCTGGACTACCCCTATTACAGGACCTAATGGCTACCTGTATTTATTATAAATTTGTTTTTGTCCTGAACATGCATAACTATTTGCCACTGGACATCAAGTAAGCAATCAATCAATCAACTAGCTTTCAGTAACTTCGAGTACTCTCAGATCTACGTGTAATGACCATAATTATTCCTAAGCAGGTAGGGATTTTACAGTAGAGTAAGAAAATATGAATTTCTTGAATTTTGTCACGATATTATGAACAGAACCAAACTTCTGCATTGGGCATCAACTGTGTGTGAGTGTATGTGTTTGTGTGGCCGGGGTGAAGGTTTAAGAATCAAAAGATGGATGGTCGATGTCTAGCCCAAAGGATAGTATTATTATATATAGTAGTCTCAGTGTTTACGTGCCTATTCTTTTAATTAAGGATCGTCTATATATATGTACTATTAATTAACGTACTAGTATATATCAGAAAGGAATAGATATGAAAATACTAAATAGGATGTACTGCTTAATTAAAGGGCTACGCATATCTACGCTGGGCAATGCATATTGTAAATACAAAATTTTTTTTTTTTAAATTTCCGATCGTTCTGCTTTAATTCACCAATTATTTATAATTCTTCGAACTTTTTTTCATGTATATTATCATGATAAAATTACCTGTAAATTTAATATTTTTTGTACACAAAATTCTGCAACTAAAATGCTGAAAACCGTTTTCCTTCGGGGGGGGGCTTTGCCCCCTGAACCCCCTACCAGGGAGAGCCCTGGACCTGCTGGTGGCCTTAAGGGGCCCCCAGACCCCCTGCCGCAATTTGTGCCTACAGTTGATTCTATACCTAGCTACGCCCCTGCATTACTATTATATAAAGAAGAAATGGGGTATATGTCAATGAGACAGGAACCCAACAACAACAAAAAGACAAAAAACGAAAGAAACCTCTTAGTTGTATTGAAATTTGATGTATATTTATGTGGCTATAAGCTGTATTGCTTTTGGAAATAAAGTATTATTAGTTAGTTATTGTTGCAGAAAGTCAAATGTAGTTAAATGTGAAATTTAAGGTTTTAACCGTTTTTCAAATTAAAAAGTGATTCCATCATGGTATTAATAATTCTATTTTCAGCTGTTCATAAGAAGATATTTGTACATGTAATATAATATTTTTATTTCAGCTATTCATGAGAAGATATTTGTAGTATTTATGATCAGCTGTTGTTGTTACATGTTACTGAACACAATAATCTTCAAATGGTCAAGGTCTGGTCCAATGACAGAAAGGGTAAGTATGGCTTAGTGTGATAAACATGATGATAGATCTTTCATAGTTTCTGTTCAATTTCTTCACACTTTTTTCATGTTTTTAGACCGAATACAATTTATAGATTGACATATTGTATAGACACCTGTCTATTGATGAATTGTTTTATTAATTTTTGCTTGCTTATCATCCTCGTTTGTTGATTGAAGAATGTATATGTTTAGTTTAAACTTTAACATTATTTTTTTTTACTTAGATATGGAAAGAGATTGTATATGTTGCCCTCTGAACATCTTTTGGTTAATTTTGTCATTGGGTTGCTGTCTCATTATACCCAATACTTTTAATTGACATACAGAAAATATATACATTATATTTCAGTGAATAAAAGTGATTATCATATTTATATAAATAGTTTAAAAAATAAACAGATGATTCCAAATTTGTACAAAAATCTGTTGTACAAATGTAGAAACAATTTTAAAATATAAAAATAAAGGAGAAGATATATGATTGCCAATTAGACAACCAGAGACCAAAAGATGTGGATATGGTGGATGTAAGCAACTTTAGGTCACTGCAATGCACTATGCAAAATTATACATGCATAGTAAGCTATAAAAGGCATGATGAACCTACATGTATAGTAAGCTATAAAAGACATGAACCTACATGTATAGTAAGCTATAAAAGGCATGATGACTTACATGTATAGTAAGCTATAAAAGGCATGATGAACTTACATGTATAGTCAGCTATAAAAGGCATGATGAACCTACATGTATAGTAAGCTATAAAAGACATCATGAACCTACATGCATAGTAAGCTATAAAAGGCATGATGAACCTACATGTATAGTAAGCTATAAAAGACATGAACCTACATGTATAGTAAGCTATAAAAGGCATGATGAACTTACATGTATAGTAAACTATAAAAGGCATGATGAACCTACATGTATAGTAAGCTATAAAAGGCATGATGAACCTACATGTATAGTAAGCTATAAAAGGCATGATGAACCTACATGTATAGTAAGCTATAAAAGACATCATGAACCTACATGTATAGTAAGCTATAAAAGGCATGATGAACCTACATGTATAGTAAGCTATAAAAGACATGATGAACCTACATGTATAGTAAGCTATAAAAGGCATGATGAACCTACATGTATAGTAAGCTATAAAAGACATCATGAACCTACATGCATAGTAAGCTATAAAAGGCATGATGAACCTACATGTATAGTAAGCTATAAAAGACATGAACCTACATGTATAGTAAGCTATAAAAGGCATGATGAACTTACATGTATAGTAAGCTATAAAAGGCATGATGAACCTACATGTATAGTAAGCTATAAAAGACATCATGAACCTACATGTATAGTAAGCTATAAAAGACATCATGAACCTACATGTATAGTAAGCTATAAAAGGCATGATGAACCTATATGTATAGTAAGCTATAAAAGACATGATGAACCTACATGTATAGTAAGCTATAAAAGGCATGATGAACCTACATGTATAGTAAGCTATAAAAGGCATGATGAACCTACATGTATAGTAAGCTATAAAAGGCATGATGAACCTACATGTATAGTAAGCTATAAAAGGCATGATGAACCTACATGTATAGTAAGCTATAAAAGACATCATGAACCTACATGTATAGTAAGCTATAAAAGGCATGATGAACCTATATGTATAGTAAGCTATAAAAGACATGATGAACCTACATGTATAGTAAGCTATAAAAGGCATGATGAACCTACATGTATAGTAAGCTATAAAAGACATCATGAACCTACATGTATAGTAAGCTATAAAAGACATCATGAACCTACATGTATAGTAAGCTATAAAAGGCATGATGAACCTATATGTATAGTAAGCTATAAAAGACATGATGAACCTACATGTATAGTAAGCTATAAAAGGCATGATGAACCTACATGTATAGTAAGCTATAAAAGGCATGATGAACCTACATGTATAGTAAGCTATAAAAGGCATGATGAACCTACATGTATAGTAAGCTATAAAAGACATCATGAACCTACATGTATAGTAAGCTATAAAAGGCATGATGAACCTATATGTATAGTAAGCTATAAAAGACATGATGAACCTACATGTATAGTAAGCTATAAAAGGCATGATGAACCTACATGTATAGTAAGCTATAAAAGACATGATGAACCTACATGTATAGTAAACTATAAAAGACATGATGAACCTACATGTATAGTAAACTATAAAAGACATGAACCTACATGCATAGTAAGCTATAAAAGACATGATGAACTTACATGTATAGTAAGCTATAAAAGGCATGATGAACCTACATGTATAGTAAGCTATAAAAGACATGATGAACCTACATGTATAGTAAGCTATAAAAGACATGATGAACCTACATGTATAGTAAGCTATAAAAGACATGAACCTACATGCATAGTAAGCTATAAAAGACATGATGAACCTACATGTATAGTAAGCTATAAAAGACATCATGAACCTACATGTATAGTAAGCTATAAAAGGCATGATGAACCTATATGTATAGTAAGCTATAAAAGACATGATGAACCTACATGTATAGTAAGCTATAAAAGGCATGATGAACCTACATGTATAGTAAGCTATAAAAGACATGATGAACCTACATGTATAGTAAGCTATAAAAGACATGATGAACCTACATGTATAGTAAGCTATAAAAGACATGAACCTACATGCATAGTAAGCTATAAAAGACATGACAAAATGTAAAACGTTTCTAATGAGAAAACAAAAGGCCTGATTAATGTAAACAATAAATGAAAAACAAATACAATGACAGACATCAACCAACAACAACCACTTAATTACATGTGACTGTAAAAGTTCAGGGTACATTGTAGTAGATTGTGATCAATTGTTCTGTTTTATATAATGGTCTTAGATTGTGCTGAATTCAAACTAGAACCAGTCTTTGCATGATTCCCACATTCTCTTGCGATGAAATGTTTGAAAGTATTATGGCAAAAATGAACAAATATTTCAAAATTCACTGTTAGTGCAATAAAAACTGTAAGCAGAACTTTACAAACCACTACATTAAGATAACTATATTTTGTCTTTATGTCTGTCAGACAGGGTTCACCTGACCTTGACCTCATTTCATGGATTATATTAGTAATCAAGGTCAAGTCTGTATGTCAGATACTAGAAGCAATAGAGTCTTTATTTTTGCTGTATGGAATGATTGTAAGGTGTAAATGTCCCACTGGTAGGTTTCGTCTGACCTTGACCTCAATTTCATGGTTCATTGGACGATTTTAAGGTTTTGTGGTTTGGTCTATTTCTTAGATGCTATAAGCAATATGGCCCCTATATTTTGTGTATGGCAGTTTTCAAATAGCCTTTACAACATTTTAATCGTTCATTGGACAATGTTCAGTTTTTGTGGTTTGGTCTATTTCTCAGATACTATAAGCAATAAGGTCACTATATTTTGTGCATGGAATGATTTTAAGGTGTATATGTCTGTCTGGCAGTACTTGTATAAAAACATTCATAGACTTGGTCTTTGCATCGGAAATAAACACATTTATTCTAAAACCAGTTGTTGGCATGATACGGGTTATATTCTTCTCATATATTTTATGATGATATGATACTAAACCCCTAACGGGAGGGATTGTACCTGATTTTCATATGATGAAGACATAATCTTTCAATCAGTTTAATTGAGGTCTGGAGCTGGCATGTCAGAAACTTCTAGTAGTCTGTTGTTAATTTATGTATCATTGTCATTTTGCTTAGTTTCTTTTGTTACCTATTCTGACATCGGACTTGCACTTCTTTTAAACTGAGTTTTACTGTGTGTATTGCTATGTGTTTCTTTATTCTACATTGGCTAGAGGTAAAGGGGAGGGTTGAGATCTCTCAAAACATGTTTAACCCTGCCGCATTTTTGCGCCTGTCCCAAGTCAGGAGCCTCTGGCCTTTGTTAGTCTTGTATGTTTTTTTAATTTTAGTTCCTTTATATGTTTTGGAGTTTAGTGTGACGTCCATTTTCACTAAACCAGTACACAATTTTATTTAGGGTCCAGCTGAGGACCACCTCCGGTAGCGGGATTTTTATCGCTGCGTTGAAGACCCATTGGTGGCCTTTGGCTGTTATCTGCTCTTTGGTCGGGTTGTTGTCTCTTTGACATATTCCCCATTTCCATTCTCAATTTTATTGGACATAGAAAACTTTATTTAGATTCGACATATGATAAAGCATATAAACATAGCTCTATTGAGCTCTTTACCAAATATTACAGACTCTCAACATAAATTCAATCATAAGTATAGCAGTTGAGACATAACCGGTATTATGTACCCTTGTTCATTTTTTTCTGCTGGGCAGATACAACATATTTTTGTGTTAACACTTTTAATTTACAGGAACTTTTTTCCTATAAGATAAAGAAATGCATGTGGGTGTTAATTATTTTGCTGCTAAGCAGACACAACATATATCTGTGTTCACATTTTAATTTACAGGAACTATTGTCCTACAAGATAAAGAAGTACATGTGGGTGTTGATTATGGTATCTACAGCTGGTTTACTATATAGTTTTGTACTACACAGATTCTATTGTATACCATTTGGTATGTTTTATTTATTGTTTAATTTTGAATTGTTCAGCTTATGCTTGACTTATTCCATTGATGATTTTGGACACTGAAGAGACATTTATTATCGAAATATGAATCTGTTACAGTAAAAATTGGATTGTATTTGTACTTGTTTTCATAGTAATTTAACAGAACAAAACGGAATTAATAAGACAAATATAAAGAAATATTGCTGTTAGTCTGAATCATTTACTTCATTTATTTTCATCAATAAAGAAAAATATGTACACTAATTTCTTCAAGTTTTAACATAGACAATAGGTCTATGCAAGTCAAACCTGATATAAAAAAGACATTTTGATAGTATAGAGTTATTCTACATGTCCATCACTAATTTTAATTAGTGACAACATATGGTGAATTTTATGTTTTTTAGTGGACACAACTATGAACTGCAAGTCCAAGAACAGTGATAATACATTATAAACACACCTTTGATAAAATGAAAGTCTGGGAACAATTAAGTCACCTTAAGCTTTGCCTTTAAATTATCAATTATCCTCCCACATCTAGGTCATATGAAAATAACAAGTGATATGGTTAGCAGTTGAGTTCTACTTGACCATTTCATAATCTGTATTAATTTCCTCTCTATCACATTTTTATATTTAATTTCAGCCTTTAGTTTTTTCTCAGCTTTTGAGTACTTTATAGCATATTCCAACATGGCTTACCATGTCAGCGCTTATTTAGAATTCTCTGACTTGAGTGTAGTTTATGGTCATCTACATACAGTTCCAGTTCCGAACAATACAAATGGTACTTCTATAGAAAATGGAGAAACAAAGTCGCCAAGACGTTTACGTTCCAGGGAAAAAGGAGAAAAAGTCCATTGATGATAGGTCTTACTGGTTAAAGGATAGATTTCATTTTGTAAACGTTGATATTACAAACTTATCTAATGCCAGAACACATCTTCATTGTACAACTTCTCTAATTTTAGCGTTACAAACAGTACAATATAAATGAATACTTTTTTCTTGAGCAAAACTGTGATAAAAAGAGTTGGCAAACAGTGGTAGTTGTTACAATAAAAGCGCTTTTTTGAAATAAGCAATCTTATTATAAGAGCAATATTTGACAAGATGATAAAGAACTAAAATCCACTAATATTGTGAAAGTCTTTTGATGAGATGATAACTATAGTGTCTTATTTAGTGTCTTCAATATGGAAACTTTTCTATAAGTAATAAGTAAGTTTTTAAAAGCTTTGTTCAAAGAGTTCCTATGTTTTGTTTTTAAATTTCAGATTTTAGTCCAATATATATATTTTGTTGTGTACAATGGCACTGTCAGAAATTGTTTCTAAGATACTGATAAAAAGACTGTTAAAATTTTATACAGTGGATTCTTTTATTTTGTGGATTAAGCAGATAAGGAGAAACTTGTATTTTCCTGGATACCTGATTTAGTTGTTTTGACATACAAGCCTGTAGGAAATTTGTGTTTTGTTGAATCTTTAAAATGGTAGTTCACCTATACCTAGGAAAGTTAGTATCTATTTAATAAATCCTCAGTAATTGATTTATGTAAGATTACTTCCCTTTGAGAAACTTACATTATAATTTTGTTTCAATATCTTTTTTGGAATATGCTACCATATAATTATAGATTCTACCATTGAATTAGTGAAAAACAATGTTTCCCAAATTGAGACGGTTAAATTTTTATATTTCAAACCAGTCATCAAAGTAAACCACAAATGTTAAGGCCAAGGTCAGTAAAAATATAATAGGGTCAGAAATGAGTTTCTACGTATAATTTACGAGCTTTTTATATATATATATATATAAATTTTGGACCACTACGTCTAAAAACTTTTTCATGAAGACTGTTAGATATAAGGCATGTAAGGCATAACATTTGAATATTTATAGAATAACAAATCCAAGAATTCATATACATTGTATCTAAAAATATTGTCCGAGTGACATGCATATTTATTCAACAAATTTGTGTTTGTCTTGAATTAGCTTGAATACTAATTTATCTCTTTTATCAAGAGTTGTGAATTAGAGCTCTGTCTATTTATGTATTTTTTAAATCATATCATTTTCTACTGCAATAATACACCAGCTCACTTTTATTTTAGTTACCATAGTTATTTTATTGCCTGTTACAATGTTGTATTGGGGCAACCTCTTACTTTCTACAAGTATGTCTGAGTTGTGCAATATCTGGACAGTTTGAATACATATGTAGTAGCTTAATCTGTTCTTACAATTTTTTCCCTGTTTGAATGGATTTCAATATATCCAGTACTAAACTGTATTATATTACATATATATTTTATTTTTATCAGTTCAATTTTAGATATTATTGTTTTACTTGTATGACATTTATTTAAAACTCATCATCTATTGAATTCTATTGGGTATATTTAAAGAAGTGTATCTTATTTAATAGTATGGCATTGCAGGCTTGTTTTGAGTGTACTGCTTTACCCTTAAACTCTATATAGAAGCAAGCAAAGTGTTGGAATGATGAAATAACCTTGTGAAAACTGGAAGTTCCTGTCTAATTTGTAAATATATATTTTTTATTTCATTGGAATATTATCACAGAAAACTAAGTAGACAGACATATTGCTTTCATTTTGAGATTGCTTATATATGTATACTGTACTGGGTTACTTTACAAAATTACCATTATTGTTTTAAAAGAAATCAATACTCAATAAGGGGAGACAAATCTATGACAATATGAAAAACTATCTAGTTGAGGAAAATAATTCATTGTTGAACAATGCAAATGGCATCAATAAGATTTTCCGAAATCATTTCTTATGCTATGGCAGTAGAAATAAAATGTCTTTTTTTAAATAGGTTATTGCTGTGCAAGATTTACATTTATAGGATCTTAATTTAAATTGTTACTGCCCCTTGTTCTACTTGGTCGCTACTGAAATTTCAAACAGGAACATATTCATGAATGAAAAATATTTAGTTCATCAAAATTATGGAAAAATTTAATAAGACAGCTACTGAATTTATTTTGAGATAAAAGCATTTAAAAAAATAAATAAATTTTGGCAAGAAAGGGCAATAAAAATGTGGAATTTTTTGGCAAGAGAAAGATGTCTCAGGATTTTTGTATGAAATATTCATTTAAAAATGGAGTGTTTAACTGTAGGAAAAGTGTTTTGGAAATATATCAAGAATTTGAAAAATTTTATAATCTGTGTAGTATATGTGAAAATTTTGGGAAAATTTAGACTTGTTCACAATGGAAATTTACTAATTGCATGGAAAAAGCAATAGATATTATGAAATATGATAGAAATGTAGAAAAGATATTCATCAAATATCCTGTAATGTATAATTGAATATAATTGAAAAATATTTTTAAAAATGTATCAAACATCCTGTACTAAATGTTAAAATGGTCTTTGTTATTAAGTCTCCCAAACGAAGTTTGGGAAGACTTATTGTTTTTGCTCAGTTCTTATTCTTCTTCTTCTTCTTCTTCCGCCGCTTTTAAATTTGAACTTGTCCGCACCCGTTCTCCAAAACCGCTTGTCAGATTAACTTAGGGTTTCACAATATGTTAGACTAACATGTCTAGTGGTGCAATCAGGGTTTTGTTTGTGCAATGGGGTTTATAAAGGGGTACTTTGAGGGGCAAAAAGAAAAGAGGGTTTTACTATAGAACCCTATGGGATTTTATTTTTAAAAATTTTCAAATGATTATAAATTGAAAACCGTTTGTGATAGACACAATCTTTTTAATTGAAAATGTTCTAAATGATAAAGCCCATTAAATGAAATACAGGGTTAGTCCCCAGGGGTCACCCCCACCCCCTGCCATTTAAAAAAGTTCTAATATCTTGTAAGTGGTCAAGATCCCCACCCCTAAACCATATATATTTTGGTTTGTCATGCGAAGATGGTTTGAATGATATACAGGGTTAGTCCCCAGGGGTCATCCCGACCCCCTGCCATTTGAGAAAGTTCTAATATCTTGTAAATGGTCGAGATCCCCACCCCTAAACCATATATATTCTGGTTTGTCATGATAAAGCACATCAAATGTAATACAGGGTTAGTCCCAAGGGGTCACCCCCACCCCATGCCATTTAAAAAAGTTCTAATATCTTGTAAGTGGTCAAGATCCCTACCCCTAAACCATATATATTCTGGTTTGTCATGCTAAGATGGTTTGAATGATATACAGGGTTAGTCCCCAGGGGTCATCCCGACCCCCTGCCATTTGAGAAAGTTCTAATATCTTGTAAATGGTCGAGATCCCCACCCCTAAACCATATATATTCTGGTTTGTCATGATAAAGCACATCAAATGAAATACAGGGTTAGTCCCTAGGGGTCACCCCCACCCCATGCCATTTTAAAAAGTTCTAATATCTTGTAAGTGGTCAAGATCCCCACCCCTAAACCATATATATTCGGTTTTGTCATGATAAAGCACATCAAATGAAATACAGGGTTAGTCCCTAGGGGTCACCCCCACCCCATGCCATTTTAAAAAGTTCTAATATCTTGTAAGTGGTCAAGATCCCCACCCCTAAACCATATATATTCTAGTTTGTCATGCGAAGATGGTTTGAATGATATATGGGGTTAGTCCCCAGGGGTCATCCCGACCCCCTGCCATTAAAGAAATGTCTAATATCTTGTAAATGGTCGAGATCCCCACCCCTTAACCATATATATTCTGGTTTGTCATGATAAAGCACATCAAATGAAATACAGGGTTAGTCCCCAGGGGTCACAGGGGTCACCCCCACCCCCTGCCATTTGAGAAAGTTCTAATATCTTGTAAATAGTCGAGATCCCCACCCCTAAACCATATATATTCTGGTTTGTCATACCAAGATGATTTGAATGATATACAGGGTTAGTCCCCAGGCATCACTTATGCATATAACTTTACTGGACCAAACCAATTTTCATTGGACTTTGCCCAATTTCAGGCGACCATGGGAATTACGAATTATGGGAGTTTCGTTTGGGAGACTTCGTAACAGCATCCTGTTACAATCGTTTCTTGTTGTTGGTGCTTTTTACATATTTATAAAATAAAAATAATTATTATATGGATTGGCTAGTGTAACTTTTAATGGCAACCTAAAGTGATTCATTGAATCATACTCTGTGCAAAACTAATAGCTGTTGAAATAAATATGGCCCAAGAAAATTAAGTTTTTGAGAACTATTTCAAATTTGCTCATAATGTTTGGAAATGCATAAAGTCAAGAAATATAAATGAATTACATAAGATTTTTGATATTATGACGTCACAGTTACATCATAATGTGCACTATTTTCTTGAAAAAAAAGAAAACTGCAGAGTTTATGCAGTTTTTCATCATTATTTCCTTTTTAGAAACTTTGTGTGCAGGCAAGAAATAAAAAGCTAATTGAAGAGTAGCTTTATTATAACTATTGACAAATTCTCATTATATATAAAGTTTGTTTCTTGGGTGCACTAATACTTTTCCAATCTAATATATATAAAGTTGACGTAAAACAAGGAAAATCTAGAAATTTTACAAAATATACAAATTTTGTCATGGTTTGTTCCTATGGTATCTCATTAATTGTGAAATTTCTTTTTATTTTTTGAACACACTGTAACTTAGTGTATTAAGGACAAATTTAAGAATATGTATGCTAACTTTTCAATTTGCACTTTTATTTGGGCCAAATAAGGGCCTTATTGCCCCTACTCCTTTATGTCACTTAACTGTTTATACCCCTACATACTGATGCTGCAGTTCAAAGTAATCATTGAATTTGTGGTCTATCCACTTAATGTATCTCTCATTCCCCCTAACTGGGAGACTGGACTTTATACCCCTATTCACTGATGCAGCAGTCATTTTATTTTAGGGTGGGGATGTTTCATAGCAAAACTTTGACTGCCCTGGTGAAAAGGGGTAGACATCTGTATACACAACTCCTCCTTAAGCAATGATCTTATTTAAATGAATTGTTGTGTCTTTCTTACATGATCCTGATGTGCATTCCATTTATTTTTGAAGTTGACTAATTTTGTGAATTTGCCATATTAATACAAACCCAACTAGAGAAGCAGAGTATGAATTTATGAGCATTGCTCAATAGTTTTTGGCTTCAACAAAATTAGCCACTTGAAAAAAGGTAAACAGATGGTTTGGTTATGGCTTAAATTATTGTCTTAAATATATCTAATTCTATTCTAGTCATTGACATTGTGCAATTTAAATTCTTAGAAAATCAATATTAAAATTTGTCAAAGATATTACAGATATTTTTGTTTTAAGATTCTTTGTAACATTGTCCAACTACAAATAAATGTAATGATTAATGATTTTTCTAATGTATTTTACAGTTTCTTCCAAACTACTGATCTTTTTATTTCAAAGTTTTTGTTTTTAGGCAGTTAAGCTGCCTTATGCGACCACCCTAGATTTGTGTTCTACCCAATAAATGCTGAAATACATGCCATTGTTATTATCTAGCTGGCTATTATGTTATTTATAACTAATTGGACATTTTTTTAATACTTTTATTTCTGGAATATATCTCGAACTACCCAAAACTTTTGAAGTTGCACATAGGAAGTAGTGCTCAATAGAAATCCATACGTAGTTTATTATCCCCTGTGCTTTTGGCTGCGATGTCAAAGAACAATTGTATGAAATATTTCATCGTTGAAAATCGGTAATTATAAGTCGTTTATATTTCCCAAATGGCAAAATGTGCAGGAATATTGTTCATGTACAACAACTCTATGATAGAGGAAATAAAGTTATATAAGTGGGCGGTAATTATACGACCGCAAAAAAATTTTGTGGTCGTATTTTGGTATGACGTTGTCGTCGTCGTCGTCCGAAGACACATTGGTTTTCGCACTCTAACTTAAGTTTAAGTGAATGGATCTCTATGAAATTTTACCACAAGGTTCAATACCACAAAAGGAAGGTTGGGATTGATTTTGGGGGTTATGGTACCAACAGTTAAGGAATTAGGGGCCAAAAATAAGCATTTTTGTAACTTCCAGACATAACTTGTGTGTTAGTGTATGGATCTCTCTGACATTGTACACAAGGTTCCATATCACAAAAGGAATGCTGGGATTGATTTTGGGGGTAATTGCCTCAAAATTTTAGGAAATAGGGGCCAAAAAAGGGGCAAAAAACAAGCATTTTTCTAGTTTCATGACAATAACTTGTGTGTAAGTGTATGGATCTTTCTGAAATTGTACTTCAAGGTTTCATATCAGAAAGGGAAAGCTGGAATTGAGTTTGGGGGTAATTGCACAAAACGTTTAGGAATAAGGGGCCAAAAATAAGCATTTTTCTAGTTTCCAGACAATAACTAGTGTTCAAGTGTATGGATCTTTCTGAAATAGCACTGCAAGGTACCATACCACTAAAGGAAAGGCTGGGATTGATATTGGGGGTAATGGCCTCCAAATTTTAGGAATTAGGGGCCAAAAAGGGGCAAAAAACAAGCATTTTTCTAGTTTCAGGACAATAACTTGTGTGTAAGTGTATGGATCTTTCTGAAATTGTACTACAAGGTTTCATATCATAAAGGGAAAGCTGGAATTGAGTTTGGGAATAATTGCCCAAAATGTTTAGGAATTAGGGGCCAGAAGGGGGCCAAAAATAAGCATTTTTCTAGTTTCCAGACAATAACTTGTGTTCAAGTGTACGGATCTCTCTGAAATTGTACTGCAAGGCACAATACATTGTAACACAAAGGGCAGGCCGGGATTGAGTTTGGGGTGATGAATCATAAGGGGGTTCAAAAAATTTGAGGGGAGATTTTTTTTTTCCTTTTTTTTTCTTTAAAATTTTCCATTTTAAATTGGTTATTTCTGATTTATAAATAAAAGCAAATAGCAGGCTGGGATTGAGTTTGGGGGTGATGAATCATAAGGGGGTTCAAAAAATTTGAGGGGGGGGGGGGTTTTCCTTTTTTTTTCTTTAAAGTTTTCTGTTTTAAATTGGTTATTTCTGATTTATATATAAAAGCAAATAATAATGATATGGTTTGAATAGGTAAATTAAAAAAAAATTTAAGTTCTTAGACCACATTAATTCTGTGTCAGAAACCTATGCTGTGTCAAATATTTAATCAGAATCCAAATTCAGTGCTGTATCAAGCTTGAATGTTGTGTCCATACTTGCCCCAACAGTTCAGGGTTCGACCTCTGCGGTCACATCAAGCTGCGCCCAGCGGAGCATTTTATTTTTAACTTATCTTGCCAAATAAGGTTGTTGTTATTTTATGAATGAAACGAGGTCATGAAACAGATGCGGAAATCGACGTTGATGGGATGTTTTAAGTAATGTGGACAACTCGTCCCCGAGACAAGTCGGACCGAATCCACTCAAACCGTCTAAGAAGACAACTTTGACCGTTTGTCAGATTTACTTAGGGTTTCATAAAATATTAGACTAACATGTCTAGAGGAGCCATTAATCTTTTGTTTGTGCATTGGTGTCTATTTAGGGGCAATTGGAGGGGCCTGAAGAAGGGAGGGGTTTACTATAGAACCCTGTGGGATTTTATTTTTGTAAATTTTCAAATGACTATTTCTCGAAAAACAGTAAGTTATAGACACATGCAGTCTTCAGTAATGAGAACAGACAATAAAAAAAATCAACCAAAATATAGGGTGAGTCCCTTGGGGTCATCCCAACCCCCTTCAATTTGTAAACCGTCGCGATCCCCACCCCTAAACAATATATATTCATGTATGGGACAATAAAACAAATCAAATGAAATATAGGGGGAGTCCCTGGGGTCACCCCAGCCCCTCCTGTTTGAGAACTTGTAAACGGTCGAGATCTGCACCCCTAAACCATATATATTCATGTATGGGAGAATATAACAAATCAAATGAAATATATGGGAAGTCCCTGGGGTCAACCCAACCCCTCCTGTTTGAGAACTTGGAAATGGTTGAGATCCACACCCCTAAACCATATATATTCATGTATGGGACAATATAACAGATCAAATGAAATATATGGGGAGTTCCTCGGGTCACCCCACCCCTACCTGTTTGAGAACTTGGAAATGGTCGAGATCCCCACCCCTAAACCATATATATTCATGTATGGGACAATAAAACAAATCAAATGAAATATAGGGGGAGTCCATGGGGACACCCCATCCCCTCTTGTTTGAGAACTTGTAAACAGTCAAGTTCCCCACCCCTAAACCATATATATTCATGTATGGGACAATATAACAAATCAAATGAAATATTTGGGGAGTCCCTGGGGTCACCCCACCCCCTCCTGTTTGAGAACTTGTAAAAGGTCGAGATACCCACAACTAAACCATATTTATTCCTGTTCATCATTTCAAAAAGATTTGAATGACATACAGGGTCAATCTCCTAGGTGTCACATATACATATCACTTAACTAGACCAAACCAATATGAACTGGACTTTGCCTAATGTCAGGAGACCATAGGAATGACGAATTATGGGGGCTCTGTTTGGGAGACTTCGTTACGGCATCCTGTTACAATTATTTCTTGTTTATTATAAAATTTTGTTGATGCAAAAAATGAATCTAGGTTATTTGAATTTACTTTAATTATTTATTAAATTATTTCTGGGCCTATAATAATTTTCATTTATGGCTCATTTTAAAGAAAACATATAAATCTTTCAAGCAGTGTAAAGCCCGAGAATGTTTGACCAACTGTTTTATAATCACCTGTCATTTTATTCCAAACTTGGTATGGAGTAACATCATGCACTTGGGGATGAAAATGGGGGTCATTTACATTGATATATGAGTTGCTTTTGAAAACCTTGATGAAATATTAATTAATTTGCCTTAATAATCAATTCATTTAATGAACATAAATGTACAATATATATACGAATGTTTTAATGTTTGTTCTTTCAAATCTTAAAAAAGAATTGAAGCAACACTGCCACAGTTTTCATAATTACGTTTGCCTTGGTTTTTGGTTAACTGCCTACAGCGCTTACAGTACTTTGATTTGAGTGTTCCTGTTGAAGGTATTGAAGTAAAGCAATATGGACACACCAAAACTTATAAAGTGCTATTTTTTTTTTTTTGCTTAAATTGCCATTTCTTCTTTGTATTTTTTTTTATGAGTATACACGTATATCAGTAATCCTTACTTGATATTGCATACTGGTAGAGGTAGTTTGCCTCAACCAAACGTTATGAAACTTATACACAATGCTTATTACCACAAAACTCAGATCAAGTACAAACTTGGGTAGTGTCACTTTTACTGTTCTTGAGTTATGTCCCTTTATAACGTTATATGCAAGCAGGGGCATCATCTGTGTCCCATGGACACATTCCCCATTTATTTTATTCAGGTTTGAATTAATAACATTAATATGCCTCACTATTTAGTTGGGTTTTTTTGGCAATAAGGTCATGTTATTATTTCAAAAAGGTGTTTCTCACTTTGAATTTAAAACAAGCCAGTTTTTACCAGTTATGATTACATATAAGATGAAAATGAAACAGTGCCAGTTTATTTGTATCTAATTTAAATCTTTAAGTTATTTGATTCTGTCTTTGAAAAATCACAATTTAGAACATAGTAGTATAAACCTCATGTTAGTCTTCTAGTCAGAAAGTTTAAAAGTCAGCATTATAGTATTAAAGAAGAGGGCATTCTATGTCAAATCTTTGTGTATATATAATGTGATAAATCATGAAAAGAGTTTTGAAAATAATATTTGAACTTTATTTATTTGTAATAAATGTAAAAAATCATGCATAGAGGACTTAGTTTAGTATATATACATGCATTGGTTCAATAATTTCCTTAACATTGTTGCTTGTTGCATATGGCTTTACAACATGATATTCAGATTTTAATAGGCAGAAAATATTGTGTCTTTACATGTTTATTAATAGATTTGGTTACAGATGGGTTGATGTAACTGCATATAAGTTTTTATTATGTATATGTATTACCAATAAATTTTAAGTAAACTACACTGTATGTTATTCTTATTATGCCCCTGCAACTAAAAAGTTGGGGGGCATATTGTTTTACCCCTGTCCGTCTGTTTGTCCTTCCATCAGTCCGCCCCTTTATTGGTATATAGCTATTCCACATAACTCCTCCTACAGTTTGAATTCTAGAAAGTTTTCACTTTGCTGGCTGTTTGTACATATATTGGATGTGTGCATGTGGTCAACAGTTTTGATTTTTATTAATATTTGCTCTTTTGGGAGATAGTTGAACTTTGTCGTTTTAGGAGTATAAGAGGTGCATAACATTATAGTTATTCCGCAGAACTCCTCCTACAGTTTGAATGCTAGGAAGTTTTAACTTTGCTGGCTGTTTGTACATATATTGAAGGTGTGCATTTTTATCAACTGGATTTTCGAAGTAAAAATCGGTTATTGATTTGGTGATGTACAGCGGGTGGGCGGCGGGACGGGCAGCTGCCAAACAGTGTCTCTTCAATA